CTGCCTGAGAAGGGAGCGGAACGAATCCAGTTCAGAGAAATCACTAGGGGTTGTCGCATCGACAAGGTGGTCGGAATGCAACGGAGCGGTGCCCAGTACCAGAGGCTAGAGCTTCGAGACGCGATTATAACCCCAGTGTCGCTAGTGCAGTTACCAGAAGTTAACGCGCTGCGCGCAGCAGTGGTCACAAGGGAGGAGCGTACAGATCAGGTTTGACCAGCTAGAAGTTGCCAAGAGTGCATCCCGCAACAATAGAAAACAGTTTCAGGGACGAAACCGGGCCATGTCGAATAGTTACGCAAGCTGGTCAGAGGATGCGTTATCGGTCACCGTATCACATTGTGGCTAGCTAAATCACAATCACTGGAAAGCAATTGGAAAAACCTCTGAGCTCCGCGCCGGTGCACGATTGTGAATTTTTCCGCGTCCGCTCGGTGGGAGAGAACAAAGGGAGACAGCTGCAGAGAGTCTTGGGGAGGTGTCCGCAACATTTCAGGGGAGCAGGCAGCAAGCAGGTTAGCACTATCACAGCATCAGAGTCGATGAACCAATTTCGCGGGCTGCATCATGGATGGTAAGACACAGGAGAGGGTCAAAGCGGTAAGGAAGAAAGCGGTGGTGTGACAGTCACGGTGTACGCGTGGCTCCATCACGGCTTCGGCGATCTCCGGCCTTACCCTTGCTTGGCTGGTTCTGTCCTGTTCTCAACGCCGGGGCATTCTGCTCCCAAATCTTTAGACCCACGCAAGCCCTCGCTACAAAGCACCAAAAAAACATAATCAGTGTTGAATATGAAGTTGGGTCGAATCGTCGATTCCGACTCGTTGATTCCGATTCCTCTCGGTTCGGGTGACTGGGCCTGGGGTATCCATCGAGAGAAGAAGCTCGACGGACAGAAGTTCTAGACTCATAGTACACTTGGGCAAAGGAAAATATTACAGCCTTCGTTTCAGCAGTCGAAAGCCAAAGGATTTTATCAGCAAGATTTTGAAAAAACGACAGCTCCTCGGTAATCGAAATGAGATGTTCACGACTCAGGATATATATATATTTTTGGCGAGTAAAGAGGCATGACCAGAATTGTAAAAGTAGAAGCTACTTCTACTTCCACTACGGCCACTTCTACTACTACTTGCCGGCCTTAGTTGAAGTAGAAGTTACTTCTACTTCTACTAGCTGTGCCTGCACTTCTACTAGAGTCTGTCACGCAGACGCTCACCTTTTTTAATAAGTATCATTGAGTCCGTTCAGTGGCAAAGAGAGCGTATTATTGATTGAACCGAATTGAGAAATCACAGGGCAATTTAACCAAGAGGCTGAGATTAATGTAACTATTAAAATTGTATTAAAACAAATAGTTCTCCAGGCCGGGAAGATAGGCTCAAGCTCCGGTGCAAGCTGAATTTTGAAAGCCGGGGTTTGGCCGGGGTTCGATTCCATCGTGATGCAGGCGGAAATGTTTGTCTCAGTAAATGCGAAAGAAGAGGGAAAATTCGACCATCCCTGTTTCTATGTATCTCAAAACACGGTCCTCCCCGGCTGCCGCCACAACTCGAGTGATTTTCTGCGCAGTGGCAGCATCTATTTCGCTCATTTAGATCCTGGTAATGAGGAGGAGGAGGTGGTGGGAGAAGGAAAGAAACAACCTGGACTTGTTTGGGTAGCCTACGAAGTTGTGGCATTGTCCTATGTTACCTTATTTGGAGACGTATTTAGAGACGCGCCGCGACGCGTCGTGGTGGCACGCGCCAGGATGTCACGCGCGTCACAAAGTTCCCAACTTCTACCGGCAACATCACAGGGCATTCTACTTCTACCCAGCTCTCACTTCTACTGGTACCAGCGCACTTCTACTTCCACTCACTCACTTCTACTTTTACAACTTCTGTATATACTCGCGAGTAAATAAGCACGGGGAAATGAGGGAGGCTGGCTGCAGTAATGGATATCGCAGAGACTTGACATCGACTCTCCCCGTCGGATAGCAATTTCAGTCAATTATCTGTCAAGATCCGGGCTTGATTCCACAAATCCTGGTGGCTTGCCGCGCCGCAGGTTAGAAATGACAACAAAATGGAAAAGAAACCGAATAAGCGCGACACCCCGTTGTACTCAGGGCTCAGCTATAGATGAATCGAGGGGAATTTCTTCCTCTGAACAGTCAGACTGAGGTTTAGACTGAAGACGTTGCTAATAAAATGTTCGCCTGGGTGGTGAGTAACCAGGCCACCGATGACCTAGGCGACGCCCACGCTCAAAAGTTCTTGAGGCCCTGACGGGAAATGTTGAAATGGAGCTTCCGTGGCATGTTTCAGTCCTCGAAGGATCTTGATCACATACCAGTATTGACGTGACGCTGTAGGAGTTGTAAACTGACCTTGGAGCGGAGCGCAATATTCAGATTCAGCCACAATGTCGCGTTAGAGCCGATGGTACCTGACAGATAGCAGCACACCATGTGCCGACGGTCGAACTCCAGCGTAAATTCATTTCAGCAAGCCCAAGCGAATATCCCAACAACCGATAAGCCCAAGATAGAAATACAATTGTCCCCTCTCGGTGTGGACCCGAGTACGATCCATAGTATGCATAGTCCGACCGAAATTACTACTGGTAAGGCGCCGTGAGCGAGAGGGGAAGCAGCCAGAAGGAGCGAGTAACCCTTACCTATGGCGCCATTACAACCGGCCGCGGTATTGGCTCCGCCTTCTCATCGCTCCGCATTTCACCCCGCTCGATAGCGCCCGCTTGTGCCTCCGCGTCCACCGTCCTATTGGACCGCGGTGTCCATCCCATGAGCAGCAGTATCCGCCCGGCAACGTCCATGCCGATGAACACCAGCGTCGCGCATACGGTCGTAATCTTGACGACGTCGAGCGGGGAGAGCGCGGCGAGATGCAGCGACACGCGGGTACAGGGCGTGCATGACGTGCGCTCCGCACACGGCGGCGCCTCGCGGACGAAGAGCCAGACGTGGTATTGTACGGTATACAGGATGGTCAGGAGCACGACGGATGAGAGCGCGACGGTTATGATGAACTCGCGCAAGAGGTCCGCAGCGCGACGCGACAGAGGAGGGGGAGGGTCCATGGGCATGGCTGCGCAGCGGTGGACGCTGGTGGGGTGCGCAGGGGAAGGCTCGCTGGCATCAATGGCCTGGGCAGCTTTTATACGAGCATGTGCCTCGGGAGGAAGACCGGAGAAAATAAGGGCTTGGCAGATAGATCATACGGTTGATGCGGCCTCGTTTATGGGATCGGGCGCACACGGCCTATAATTAACCTCTCGAGCAGTTGGAGGGAACCTGAAGCAGCGGACCGTATGGTGCGAACAAGGAAAGAATGCACAGTTGCGGGTGGTATTGCGGGGAAACTGCTGAATATCGCCCAGTGGTCGTGAGTGTGAAAATGTTCCGGACGGCGTTCCGCTTCACCTGAGAACGGGCACGGGGAAAAAAGAGACCATGGAAGCGATCACCATAGGCAAGATAAGTTGTATTTTTGAGACGTTTAACATCGACAGTGGAAAAAGCACACAAAAAGCAAAGAAAAAGATTCTTGGATACGGCCGGCCATTAGGAAGGTGCGAATTTGGTCCGAATTCCCAGAAAGATCAACAGACAGAAAAACGAGTGTACGCGGTGGTGTTCAGTTTGGCTTTCGAGGTGCTCGAAGACTGACGTGGCGGGAAGAGAGTGGGAATTGTGACGGTCACTGCATCAGTCACTGATCCAAAGATCACAGTCGCTTTGACAACAACCGACTGCGCCTTACGTGTTCTGACCCGCTCACTGTATTGGGTTGTGTGCCAGCTCATCCCCTCTCCATCCCCCGCAATGAGCTTCCACGACATCGCAACCCTGGATCCCAGTGAAGCCCTCTCTTCCGACGAAGCCTCGGTGTACCTTGACGCCTTCACAATAAATATGAATGTGATGGAGATCCGATCCACAGCGGCACAACTGGGCACATCTCACGACTCGCGCGCTCTCCGCGCACGGTTGTGCGTATCAATGTGAAGAACTTGAAGCCAAATTCTCACGGAGAACTCTAGGCGCTATGTGACGGAGAGAACGCGCGAGCTCCTTCGAAGGAGGATGCATGCGATAGTATCCGACTTTCAGCATGTATATTGTCTCTTCTTCCCCTCGACTTTCAGCAGTTCAAGGAGTTTCCACCTAGGGCCCCGCGACACGCATCCTAACCTCTGATTTCGATGTCGCCGTCCGAAATTTCCAGGCGGCGCAAAGATTGAGCGGATCCTTGCAGCGTGCTAACGTGATACCTGGTCCGGCTGTCGAACCTCTGGTGGATCTCTCAGATGCAACACAAACCCAGATCATGGATGCCGCCAGCCGTCAAGCAGAAATTGCGGAGCGTCTCGCCGCTATCCAGGAACTCGAACGAGGCATCACAGACGTGGCGGACACTATACGCCAGCTCGAGAATATTTTCGAGCGACAAGGCGCGGAGGCATGTGCGTCTCTCTGCCCATTCTCTTCCATCCAAATCTCTGGCTGATTTAATTCCGTTGAAGATATGTTGGAACGGAATAGCGAGCGCACGGCGATGGATCTCGAACACGGGGCATCCGCACTCCACCGACAGAGCCGCAGCCGCTGGATGTGGTTGATTATTGTTTTCGGTGTGGTGTTGGTCGTTGCGGTCCTTGGGGCGACGCGTTTCATTTGGCGTTGATGGAATCTCTGGTGATGAAGCCAATTCTCAGGCACTTCTTGTGAGTCAGATGGCGCTATATTCGTGTCCGGGGCTAAGCATGATCCAGAGGGCTTGTACGGCTTGACTAGGGAGTTAAACCATGGGAAATTACAGGAGATTTTCGTCCGCCCAATGACATTCGGTATCTGTACCCTGAATTGGGCCTTGAGTTTACCTATACTCCAAGGCGTCAGAGTTGTTATTGGACCAACCGGCGAAACTGGACTCAACTCTCCGAACCACCCGCGAGAAGGGACAAAAAACCTCCTGCGACACTGCGGACGCCCTCGCGGGGAGTCGAACCCCACACATCCCATAATTGTATGAAAGGATTATGCGTAATTGCAAGGGGTGATCACCACTGATCATCGAAGGCTCTCTAGGGTGGGTTCAACCGGAGGTTGATGCCTCACTCTTTCAGCACTCTGGCCCAGCGTTCAAGTCGATATACATCCAGAGCCCGAAGTGTGAGCATGATGTGACCCAAAGTCGAAGAATTTAACTTACCTTGCCTCAAAACTATCTGTAGATGGAAGAAAACAATTCACGCGTCGCACACAGGCCCTCGCGGGGAGTCGAACCCCACACTTCCCATAATTGCTGGAGATTGCGCATTGAAAGGGAACGATCACCGCTGATCACCGAAGGCTTTTTAGGGCAGGTTCATCCTTTGCTTGATGTCTTCGTACCTTCAGCGCGTCGTTGCTGCCACGAACTCGAACCGAGCGCTAAATTTAAATCGAATAAGCGTTTCAGATCTATTACGCGCGAGGTGTCAGCACGATGGGGACGAAACGAGAAAACGGGACTCACCTCTACCGGAGAAGTGAAAAAAAGCGGGCTGGAACGTTTTGTATGCACGCCCTCGAACCCCCTAGATCTCATTATTGCTCCATTGTTTGCGCATTATCGCAACAGTACGATCACCGCTGATCTTCGAAGGCTTTGTAGCGTAAGTTCCCTCTTGTATTTCATATCCGGGTTCTGGAGCCAGCGCTGGACCTGGATCAAGTGAAAGTATGGAGGTGACCGAAAGGTGAAACTCCACTCACCTCTATCAAAACGCCCGCCAGGAGAGCAAAAATGACGGGGACGTTGTGCACACACCCTCGCGGGGAGTCGAACCCCGACACTTCCCATAATTGAAGAGGGTAAGCTAATTGGAAGGGAACGATCACAGCTGATCACCAAAGGCTTGGTAGCCTAGATTTTCCCCTTGTTGTGTGCGTTCCTTTGAGAGGTGGTGTCAGTCGTTCAGAATATTGCGGATGCGGGACGCAGGAGCGGGACATGTGCAGCAGCGGTTGTGCGGCACGTGCGGGAAGGTTTGAGTGAGAGGTCCACCACCGCGCCGGCGGGACGGTTGTGATGAGATACAGAAGCCCACAACGTCACGATGAAGGCAAGGATGAAGGATCGATGGCGGTGCATGTGCCAGTGGCAGGATGGCACCAAACTGGGTCTGTGGAGATGAACGCAGGGTGGGCGGCCCGATGCGATGTGAGTCGATGTGGTCGAACGACGCGCACCGTGGTGGGAGGCAAGTAGATGGCAAAGAATTAATTGCACCCGCGATCGATCAATGGTTTGACGGGCACTGCCACAGAGCCGAGATTCGAACCCCGACGTTGTGCCGACAACCCGATGTCAACGGTCAAATTGAACGTTAGCTTCAACTTGCTTGCCTTTGCTCGCTCGGGGGCTGCGTCTGATGCACTTCTCTGCGCCAGACTCAGGCGCAGACCCCAGAGCCCAACCACGAAAAAAAGAAAAAAAGAGTGGGCCTGGGGCTATGGCTCGGGCTCGATTCGAACGAGCAACACCTGCAGGGGAACTCCTGCATGTGGTCTCCATGGATTGCAGGTATGGTTCATCCGCCGCCGAGGGTTATTTTATTGCTATTGCGCCTCGAGAGACACCGTTGCGATTCCCAAGTACTAAAGTAGAGCCAGACGCAAAGTAGATAAGTATGCGTGCATGAGTGTGTATTTTGCTCACCTGGCGCCTCGTTAGCTAGGTGGCTTCCAATGTATTCCCAAATACCGTTTCTCCTGGGCAGCACGGAAAGAAATCCGATGGAACGCTCCCCAAAAGACTAATTGACATTCAAGGAACAAAACAAAACGATCAATACCGACAACAATGGCCCGGGCAGGAATCGAACGAGCAGGTCCTACGAGAATCCTTCACCGCCGTGAGGCATTGCGAGCAGCTGAGCCTTACCTTAGCGCAAGGTTCCACGCTCCCGCTCAATAAAAGTGGGTTTTTTCTGTTGACAGCCTTTTCTTCTGCGTTTGTTCGTCCACGCAGGACATGAAATTTCACCTCGTTCGTACGATCGTTACATCTGAACCTCTTCCGCGGGTCGCGGCCGTGTCAAGCGCGCGCGGTGTAGTCGCCGAACGCAGGGAGCTCCAAGCCAGCGGAACACTGAGAAGAAGCCGGTCAGTGGAAATGAGGGGCGGCAGCTCAAATCCAACACACCAAACACGTACAGTGGCGGCAAAAAAGAATTGCCGACGTCATTTGGGCTGATTGCTGGGTCGAATCACTTCAAATAAAATGCTGCCATAAAATATGGTCAATTTTATGAGGATATACATCATCCAAGGTATGCAATGTCTGTCGCGATGTCCCAGAATAAAATAAATTGTCATTTTCTGAAAAATCGACTTTTCGAATACAGAAGATATTGAAAAACGGTCAACCTAGCATGAAAGTACTTGAAAAATAGTGTATGCTGACATTTTATTTCAATGGGATTGATTGGTAGGCTCTCTCGCAATAACCGCCACAAGTTGGCTAGTTTGGCTATTTTGGGGCAGTTTTGGTCCATTTTTGGTCAAAATGGCCAACTTGAGAGCTGTCTTGCGAGCCAACCTACCTATCGATCCATACCAAATAAAATGTGAGTATACTTCATTTTTCAAGTGCTTTCATGCCATGATGACCATTTTTGCATGGCATCAAAATCCACGATCTCGATTTTCCAAATTTGGACAAATCATTTTATTGCGGGAGAACAAGACAGGTATGGTATCACTTAAACTGTGCAGACCATGTTCAAATTCCCCGCACTTGATTGTAGCATTTTATTTGAGGTGATTTGCTGCAGAGATCAGCCCAAACGACGTCGGCAATTCTTTTTTGCCGCCACTGTAGGCCCGTTGTGGAAGAGCTAGTAAGCCGGAGTGCGGATTCTTCAATAGGGTCGGTGGCCAGTCGTATGTAGACGGAATCTGGGAATATATGGATTGGAAAATGAGTCTGCTGGCGGGGTATGGAAGTCGTGGCAAGTCAGAGTGTCGATAGGTCGTGAAAAGTGATGTGGGTCAGATTCCGAATGAATCCGCGAGAACGATGGGTTTGGCACGCCGAGTGCGCACCACGAGCGTCACGAGGTTCGATGGTTGAGATGAGAAAGACACGGGGTTCGGCCGCTGAACCGCACTGGCTCGCACGATGAGCGTAGGAAGCAAGAGGATGATGATTTGGCGCCGTGGGCGCGTATTTACGGTACAAACATTGATGTAACTAAAAATAATGAGGCAGCTGCTTTGGAACCGAAACCAACCTGTGGTTGGATTTCCACAGGTCGGCCATACGGCTCTGCTACAGTGCGGGGGATTTTGATGTCGTCCCCGACATCCAGTACCTATGAAAAGGAGAGGAGTATGGCCGATGTACCGTACGAAAAAAAGGTCTAGATCAAAATGTAATCCAAAAGTGAGCGCGTAACGTAGGAGAGGAAGAAGGCAATCATATCTGCGAGGTAGTCATATAAACCTAGATGCTTGGAGGGAGATAAAAAGTGACGCGATAAAGACCATGTGATGAGAACGAGGATAAGAGAGTGCACCGAAAGGAAATTCGCAACAAATCTGGAGATAAAGCCGGGAAGCTGGGAGACGATGGAAGGAGGTGGAGAGGAATCACGAATGGCAAGTGAATCAAGATCTCGAATATACTCCGCAAGTTTGTGGCGAACGGTGGGGGAGAAGGCGAGAATATCGGCGAATGGCAACGTGACTGGTTTCGCGAGCCACTTTGGATCGTCTACGCAAACAGAAGGTTTGGGCGAGGAACTGGACAGAGGGGCTTTAATCGAAACAGAAGGTGAGGGATGAACTCGCGAGGGAGGCGATGGATGTGATAAGGGTGTCGTATGCGGGGAATGGAAAATGGAACGAGGTGGGCAAGGCAAGGCATCCGGTGAATATTCAACATTGGGTGGCGGTAAAATAGGAGAGGGAGGTCTACGAGGTGCCGCCATGGGCTGCGGGGGACTTGGAATGAAACGTGGGGGAGGAGGCGACACGTTCGACGGAATGGCTGCGACGATGGGTGGAAAAATGGGAGATGGCGGGCGACGAGGTGCAATCGGGGGCTGCGGGGGATTTTGGCTGGAACGCACCGCGCGCTCCGCAATATCGGTGGAGTGAAGGATGGACGACGAGGGTTGTGGAATATTCTGAGTGCAGCGACGACGGACTGATGAGGAGAACAGATGGGCTGCGACACCACCTGGATTGCGAGTCATGGGGAGGGGAGAACCATCGTGCGAAACAAGACGTCCATTTGCGTCGAATAAAACGAGTCCCTCTCGAAGGAGTTCCCGTGTCCGAGGACAAAATCGGGGACCGAGTCGATGGGCACCTGTTCTTCCGCACACGAAGCAGCGGTGCGATCGAGGTTTGGACTCGAACTCGGACTGGAGTCGGGACTGCAAGGTGGATATATGGCGCGGGTCAGATGGCGAGAGTGAAGAAGACGAGTGTTTGGGGAGAAGACGAGTGGTGACGAACGTTTCGAATGAGTCGCGGCGCAGTATGGCACGCAAGACCTCCATCACCTGTCGCTTGGTTGGGGGAGAATCTGTACCACGGTTCGCCTCAGGGAGACGCGCCTCTACAGCCTTCCGGGTCGCGAACGGTAACCCAGCGACGAGATAGATCTGGACCTCCGCGGCAGTGAGAAATCCGAGCTCGCGCAGATAGCCCGAGATTTGGGTGAAACGACGAAGGTAGAGCTCCGCATCCGAGATCGAGCGAAACGGTAAGCAGCGACAACTCAAGCCACAGAACTCTTCGAGCTCGGCGACTGTGTGCGTCAAAAGGGTGTCGTCAGAGCTATAGAGCTCGCGCAACTCAGCGACTGCGGCGTCCCAATTCTTCGCATCGCGCTGAAGCTCAGGTACGTGGCGAATGACTCGTGCGACCTCTGGTGTGCAATATGCGACGATGAGAGAGGCGAGATTGTCGGTTGATAGTCCCGCGTGCTCGCCGTGACGGAGGAGGACGTCGAGAAAGGCCGTGAGGTTCGTGCCGTCGAAGCTAGGCGCATCCGCAGATCCAGGGCGGGGCATGCGTGCGAAGA